TTCCCTGCTCTGAAGAACCCTCTCTTATCAAATTTCTCTTTTGTAGGTACTTAGAGACTGTGATCATATCACCCCATTAACCTTCTCTTTGATAATCTAAATAAATTGCGCTCCTAAGTATTTCTGTAGAAATCATATTTTTCTAATCCTTTAATTAGTCTGTGTCTCTTCTCTGTGCCCTCTTCAATTTGTCATCTTTTTTTTCTGAGTTGTGGAGCCCAGACCTGAAAACACCACTGTAGTGGTCACAGAAGGAAAAAACACAAAGGTGATGCCACTTCTCTACCAGCACTTCATGGTCTTGTTTGCACACCTAAATGAGTCCCCTTGGCCACAGGGTCAGATGGGGACCCAAGTTTGACTGATGGTCTATCATGATGTCAGTGTTTTTTCTCAGACACTACTCCAAAGACAACCCCCCATCCCAGTTCTCCTCCTGTAGCTCTCAGATGTACATCCATATGTTTCACTGCGCTGAAACATATATTTCTTCGAGCCCAGTGACCTGTGATCTTCATTATTTTGTATATCCACAGTCTTTGTGGGATCCACAAACACTCCTGGCAACAACCCATCCCAGGGTGTTTCTAAAAACCAACTCTGAAAACCCTCTAAAGAGTACAGTACCAACCGCTTTTTCCAAGCAGAAAAATGCACAGGAACATGACTGTTCAATGGTGAGTTCTTGTTTATCATTACGTATTCACCCTATCTTTTCAAACAATTCTCTGCTTAAGGCTTGTAAAATTGGCTTTGAATAAGTTTTGGTTATTGCTCAAGATGTCATGCTATTGCAAGTCAAAGGTTTTACAGTAGTCAAAGAGATTTTAAAGATTACAGTTAACTTTTTCTAGATAGCCCTGTAATTCAAGAAGTCATGAAAATATTAGTCAATCATTCATTTATATATATATTCAAAACCGTATCAAAAGAAAAACAAAACAAACAAAAAATTCCTAATGAAGATTTGTTTTAAAACAGAACATAACAGAAGTTTCTATTAAGGCATAACATTTAAGTGCAAACTAACGTTCATATTTCCTTTCATGGTGATAATGTCAGTGAGATATAACCCCATGAAACTAACTGAAATCTCAGGTTTCAAAATCTGAGATTTTGAAAATATTTGAAAAGTATTCCTAAATCTATCATTGACCCTTCACATGGCCTCAGGCAATTAATTTAATCTATTAAATCTGATACTTATTCAAGTTGTAAAAAGATTTGGCTCAAAAAGAATTAATTTTTTTTTAATTTTTATTTTTTTATATATG